AGCATCATCGATAAGAATGGAGACTATTTCATTTAATAAATGTTGTGTTTTGATATATAAGTTGTTCGGTTTTTTTCATCTAAAAAAACGACATTAATTTCTTGACGACCTAACAATATAAACACATATGTTTTCTTGAACGGGTCAAAAACCAATGTTTATTTGTTTGTATTTATATCGCCCCCAGTGACACAGCGGTATGTCTGCGGACTTACAACGCTAGAATCCGGGTTTCGATACCCGTGATGGGCAGAGCACAGATAGCCCCTTGTGTAGCTTTGTGCTTAACAAACAAACATTGTATTCATGTCAGTATATACGTATTCATTTATATTTTCACCAAATGTCTACTTGCACGTGGGTTATATATCATGCTACGTTACCATTGTTTCCTGTAAATGTTTGTAAGTCAGATAATACTGCTTGATAATAAACAGAAGTCTAAATCCTATCCTGTATTTCTTTAAATTAATTATACATCGTATGTTTACATACGAGTAAAATGGACATTTTAATAAGACCTTTTCAAAAGAAAAATGACAAAAGCTCATCCAAAAGCTGGTTTAACTAACTGATAAATGATGTAATAACCTTTTTAAGTTCGACAGACTTGAAGGATTTTAAGCTATCATTTATACTTTTTCTCATAATTTATGTATTTGCGTCGATACCAAACTTACAACAACCGACTCAAAATAGTTGAATTCATTCTTCTACGCATGTTTTCAACTTTATGAGAAATCCAAGACTTTCTCTGAACCCGGTGGTCAGCCTCAAAATTTCTGTTTGTAATAAAAACCCAAACTTATTTAAGACAGTCAGCTGCTAATAATTCAACTGATATATAAATTGAAACAATATTCATGACTTGAGTAGAATTCCAATTCATAAAATAATTAGTGAATTTGAACTGTAAAAAAGTTGAAGTGTTCTGGTTGTTGTTCAAAGTTACTTGATCTTAAAGGAATTAAAGTGTCTAAAAAGCGACAAAAGTTTAATAGTATGGTAAAGATTCATTCTCAAGGTGTGTTTATCTTTAATGTTTTTTGTTGTAGGTTTATATTTATTCAGTTTTAGATTGTGGAAAATACGACTGGTTCATCTAAAATGTTGTAAAAAATTACATTTCAGGGTTGTTATTAAAAAAGACTTCGTTGAGTGATAATTCAGAGATTTCATTTAGAAGATCGAATTGTTTGCAAATTTAGAAATAATGTTTTTTTTTGTCGCCAGTCTCTAAATTGGTTCATTCTTTAGACTTTGTGAATGAATCACGAAGAATTTCCATTTCATTCGCGGGATCCGGTGTATATCAATTACTCAATTACCAAAGATTACTTAACTATTCAATAAACAATGCTTATTCTTGTATTCTAAAGTTGATTTAATTTTCAATGTGACTTATACGCACAATACAAAAGTATCAAAATAGGCGGACAGATAGATAGATGAATGAATGAACGTCGTTCGGAGATCATGTCCTGCTGAGAAGAAAATTAAAACGGTTGCTAGGCAACACAAGTTGATATATTCTTTCCGTGGAAGCCAACATGATTGCTAGTTATTTAGCCCCAAAGTCACTGAGTAAGATAAATCAAGTGTTGCGCTTGCCATTCATGATGAGAAGAATCAGAGTCTTCAGCATAACAAATAGATAGCACCGGTCTTTATTGTTTTCTTTTGATGACCTTGTTTGTGGATATTTGAATAATAATGAACAAACTAGTGTTAATTACAATTTACTACTTTGATAAAACCCAAACCGTGTCACTGTTTTGCCTGAACAGTCTTAAAATGAATAAAAAGAGACGAAAACATGATTACGACACAGAGACATGAAAATCGTTTCGTCAAACACTCATTTGTAGGTCTGATAATCAGTGATGCGTTATCAATTTCTAATTTTGATATGTAACCAAGACAACATACCTACCAGTATTTCTGATTAAAAAAGTTGAGTGATATTATTCACTTCAACGCTCTCCTTTTAGCCGTTGTTATCGTAAGCAATACAGAATGTTTACCACTATATTAGTGTTTTCTTTGTAGTAGACGTCTGCGTTAAACATAAAAAGGTCTTGCTGATTGAGCCAATGACGATGTTTATAACAGATCCCTCAAAGAAAGTGTACCTAAATTTAATAAAAAAAACTTGGGATTTAATACAAAGATGTAAACTATTGGCGCATTGCAAAATTATCCGAAGACTAAGCAACAAAACCTTGAACCTACCTTTATTATATGTGGACTTAGGTTTAACTGCACTTAAATTGTTATGCATATTTTGTCATTTTCATAATTTTCGAAATAGCGCTAGATTTATAATTTTTATCTGATTAACTTCGATATTTTTTTTTTGTTTTTGAGGGTAGGTTTAAAGTTTGGGAGCTTACACTGATTTACTATCTGCGGAGTAAAATATAAGTACAGGATATAGAATGAAATTCCTGCTTCATTACTCTCTTAATGTCCTACCATCTACCAGCTTCCAGATTATTTTGAAGTACGCCCTGTGGGTTGATATAATATAATATGGCAGGATGATTCGTCTTCCCCAAGTGTTTTGAAGTTGGTGTTATTTGATGGAGGGGCCCGGCATGGTCAGGTGGTTAGGGCGCTTGACTCGCAATCTGAGGGTCGCGGGTTCGAATCCCCGTCCCACCAAACATGCTCGCTCTTTCAGCCGTGGGGGTGTTATAAAGTGACGGTCAATCCCACTATTCGTTGGTAAAAGAGTAACCCAAGAGTTGGCGGTGAGTAGTGATGACTAGCTGCCTTCCCTCTAGTCTTACACTGCTAAATTAGGGACGGCTAGCGCAGATAGCTCTCGTGTAGCTTTGCGCGAAATTCAAAACAAAACAAAATTTGATGGAGGCAACTTCAACAGGTAAAAAAAATATTTTGTTACAATGAATCTTTTAAAAATTACCCTTCTTTAAGGTTTCTGGTCACAAATTTGATTTTAAGATATCTAAACCAGTTACATATAAAACATACTTTTCAAAAATCATAAAAAGTATACTTCTCATTGACGTTTCTAATGATAAATCGAATTGTTTTCATTCTAACGTTTCGTGGGTCAGTTTTAAAAGTTGATATAATACCTGCTTATAGTATACGACTTAGGGAAGTGTTAATTTTTAATTAATTAAAGTTTAGTTCTTCCATCTAACGGAAATATTTAACGACCCTCCGCTAGTTCGTTTTTTGGATATATGATTCACATTAATAAAACTTTCTAAAGACGTGACCTTGAAGATGACCCTGAATGACCTAAAATATTGTTATAGGTTGGTCCATGATACCTCCTACCATACCATTTTTCTCTATTTCTGAATTATTTCTATATCCATGGACGCTTGAATCACCTGTATATTGAATATCCTTGGGAATAGTTTCTTTGTCATGCTTTTTAGCAGTAATGTAACCAAAGATATTTAACCCAGACAAATTTATTCTTTTGATTACTGCATTGTTCTCTAATCCTCAATCTCAATAAAAGGCATTTTCAGTGATTCCTTTTGAAATGCAGGGCGGAAAATAATGAGCAGAAGATATGAAAAAACGTCCATCCGTTATTTTTATTCAGACATTTCTTCCTAAATGATACCTAATCAAATTTCAAATAAATTAATATTAATTAACACACACATACGCATCTGTGACGTCCATTTTTTGTTTATACACTTATATATATTGTACTGTCCTAAGCGTAGTTATAGCGTTGTTTTTTGGTTCGTCTGCCTCGATAAACGCCATTTTACTCTGATTTAACCACAGTAAACATTAATTTATTACCTCAACTCTAGGACATCTAGTTTTATGATTTTACCAATAGTTCAAGACCTCGTTGTATATATCATTCTATGCCTATACTGACACGGGGTAGGTTATGTTGGCTATCACCTGTACTTTTATACAGATTATACTCTGTACTGTTACAGATGTAGGTTATCTCTGTACTTTTATAAACTCAGATTATACTCTGTACTGTTACAGATGTAGGTTATCTCTGTACTTTTATAAACTCAGATTA